GCAGTGGCCAAGATTGGTATCAATCTTTATTTCTCGGCTAACGTTTCGGAGTACAACTCCTTCTTCGGAGCCTGAAAGATCAAAAACTATGCGAAACTGTTCCTCTAAGCACTCAGTCACCCAACAGATACCGTTCAACACAAGGTAGTTACAAGATGAAGATAGAGACCGTAACTAAGCTAATGCTTACCTCAATAGCCAGCTGGAGACCAAGAGCAGGCCACCTAATGGATAGCGCCGTTACTGTGTACTGCTATACCCTATTTATACAGCCCAGATGACCTGACCTGACCCAGACCCGTAGGTCAAAAGCCACAAAGAGCTTGATACGGTGCTAATTCGGTAATCACGGCAATGCACTCTTCTTTGCGGTTTATTTTTGGAGTTTTTGATGCTATCCAAAATGCCTCCAACGTCTTTCGCGCTACTGTATCAGGCTCCTGTGATAAGATGGTGACAGCTACGTCATAGTGTTGATCGTCATGGCGTTGCCTGCGGTGGGCACCTAGAGGGGTAGACAACTTTTCGGTCTTTTCGGTCAACTAAGAAGTTGAGTAAAACCGTGATGTCGATAAAGAATTCAATATTGTTGTACATAACATTGACTGAGTGCTATGCAGGGTGAAGCATGTCGAGTGTCTAACGAAACGATTCATTCAAAGTGCTTTCTACCTGTTGATGTTTTCTGATCCTGAACTCAATCTTTTTTTTTACTGTGTCAGTGAGCTTTCCCAAAGCATTTCTGAAAATTCGTTATGTTGAAAGGAATCAAAAGGAAAAAAACTGCGCTATGAAAAGGTACAATGTAAAAAAACTACATTTGAAATAACTCAAGTAGAAATCAATAGAACTATAATCAATAGAACTAACTACTACTTACATCTACTCGTCATCTTCTGAATTCCTGAAGTGAAAGGGAGATCCTTCTTTGGATAAATTTGCTGAATAAAAAGGTAATTTTATAAGGTCCTGAGTTCAATCTTATATGTCAATCGTGGAACTTTCCTCCGAATTAGATTTTGCGCTTGTTCGGCCATAATATATCTATTACTTTTTATTTTTATTCGCAAATATCATACAGTAGAAATTACAAAAATCTGCTCATTATTATTTTATCTGCATGTTCTCATTGATAGTTCGTATCTTTTATTTAGTTCTTATTGTTTCAGGAGGAAGTCAAGGATGCAAGCGTAGAAGAAATCTCGTCCAATTATGTATATAGTGCAGTAAACCGTTATTACGAATCGATAAAATAAATGTTTAGTAATTCTTATTTGCACTTCAGATTGATCTGTTTTCAATTCATAGCAAAATTAGAAAAGAACATAGATTTTGGAAGACTATTAGGATCTAGTTTCAGAATCATGTTTAACTATTTAGTTCGCAAATGACAGCGGAAATTTCACAAATGTTCCCTATTTTGACATCCCAAAGCAGATTTTTCGTATTATGCAAGTCCCCTTTCGAAAAACTCAACTGTGTTGAGACTCAACACACTTTCTCATAGTTAGGATATTATTGTCAGTTAAACGCTTTCTCCATTGGAGAAACCCCAGATGAGACAAATACAGGAGATTCGAGAAAGAAGGTCCAACTGGTCAAAACTTATTTTGCATGAAAACGGTATAAACCTCATTATTTGAGAACTGTAGTCGCAATTTTTGGTGTGTTTATCCAGTGTGCACAAGAAAAAGCTATGGGCGAAGTCTCGGATGGTATGAAGTATTATGAATTGTCCTAACAAGGGTATTTAGAAGAAATATTACAACCAAAGTTGTGAATGACAAAAACCTCTTACTCTTTCTCTTTTTTGAAAAGGGAGGGGCACCAATGAAACTAGACTGGCGAGTTTCAAGAAAAAGCACAACGACAATTAATATCATATAAAATAGCACTCAACATGACTCTTACAAGTTCTTGCATTCGGCCTACGGCGAAAACTTTATAAGATTCTGAACGAAAGAGGGAAGGACACATGTAGTTAAGCCATAACAATTGTTTCACTCCTACGCTCTGCTATGTAGCTCATTTTTCTACAATAAGATTCGAGCATCTTGAGTATATCTTTTGACTTGGATATCCAGTGATTGAAAAATATCGTCAAAAGTCCTTAGAATTCAATTTATTGCATAAGAGACATACTGTATCAATATTAAAAATTAAGTTGTTATTTTGAGCTTAGCTTCTGTTTTTTTTCAAACAGAAGGATTTTTTTATGCCCTGTCAAAGCTTCTTAGTAAGTAGAGAGGAACTAGAGGTGATATTCAAAAGCGAATTCAAAGAAAGTTTAGTAAAATACTAAAAAAAAGATCTGAACTTCCTCCGTTTTCCAACTTCTTTTTATGTTTGTTGTTGGAATCTTTATGTTTAATACCGTAAATTGATTTCAAAGGAAAAATTCTATTTTATTATATTTTGCATAGTGTCCGTTTGTGATTATGTTCAGTGTGATATAAATGCGTCAGAAAATAAGTGGGCTTGCTAATTATGGTATCTTCCGCTGATACTGAATTCGTACATTGTGTTATACCTAGTTACAAAAAACAAATTAACAAATTTATTTGATGGTGGCCAAAAACCAAACGTGGTACGCGTCAGATTTGATCTTGCAACCATAGCTATGAAGAAAATTTACACATGAAAAGCTCCATAGTTCCTGGGGAGCATTAGGCCACTTGCACCATTAATCCCCACTTGTAGCCACGAACTTTGGCTTTGCTCTACCCATTTACAGTGAGAAAATTATCCAGTTATCACGGAAAATATCGCTTGGCGTCATATACGAGTCAACATCAAACATTCTAAAATGCCTCCGCTTTTTCTAACCATTGAGGAAAGTTTTTTGTGGTTTTATGAATCTACTAAAAGGCTTCAGGCCTAAACATCATAACAATGACATCTCTACCTAGGGGGTAAAACCTAACGCTTTTGACTTAGTGCATCTGCGTACCGACATAATTTGTGCATGATAAAGATTGATATGATTGTAAAGTTAACTTTAAAAGTCTAAAATGGTCATAGAGCGTACCTTTAAGTTTTGCAATTTATGGGTACTGGCTTAATTTTGGCACTAGTATCAGGTCGGTCCGAAAGTTCGTGCTGTTTTTCCGACCATGCTCGAATCATTTAGAATATTGGATTTTTTTATACAAACGCTTCAAAAAGTGTTCAATTCAGAATTTCTTTCTCTTTCTAGCAGTTGTGTTCTTGTTCAGATTCCTTTAATGTCCGCTCAAATATTCGTCAGAATCTCCAATCCATGATTTTTGCCCTTCCTGAGTGTGTCTATCTTTTGGAATTTTTTATTACTTAGATAACATTTCGATAAAATATACGAAATGCAATACATTACACTTTTTGTCATCTCTAGCTGGCTTCTCAAAATTTTTCAAAATAATTTTCTGATGCTATCAAATTCCATATTTTGGCATCCCAGTCCTCACAGAAAATATTCGAAGAGCAACCAGGGCGTCATTCTATGCAGCTTTCGCCTCTTTGTGGAAGATTTCATTTCTCCTGCTTTGTATAGAATTTGAGGATAAAATCAGTATAATTTTTGCTTCCAACCTCTTCCCAAGCTGTACCCAGAAAAGGGAGCCCTATCGAGCTGAAAGCTCTTCCGTTTGCCAAAATTGGCGTTAAGTGATAAGCTGTTTTTGAAAGCTTGAAAATCCGAGGATTTATCTTGTTTGAGGGCGGTTGTCTATTTCAAGACTTCGCTAAGTAAAGGCTTTTGAAAAAAATTTAAGAGATAATGAAAGGCTAGCTGAAGAGGCTAAATAGTTCATTGTAATGTATTTTGTTTATTCTTTCCAACTCTTATCAATGCTAGTCAAAAACATATAGGACTGCGGAGTGATTCGTGAAAAAATGTGGAGTTGTCAGAGATAGTTGCACACTATCTCATAAAATAAACAAAAATCGATTATATTTCATTCTGTCAGTATCCCTTCCCATTGTATATATTCTATATTCATTCTTTGGTCTTCCATGACTAATATAGCCTTTTTTCTCTCAGTAATGATTTACAACTAAACCATGTGTCAAACACTGTCAAGCCGTAGCTAAGCTATGGCTGGTTTTCGTGCTTACATTCAAACTAAATATGTAGTACGCAATGTCGAAAAAGGCTAGGGTGTTAAGCAATGGAGTAATAGAAACAGTTCAGCAAACTGTTCCATAGAGCTGTTTAGGATGAAACCATTTATCAAAACTTCACTTAGTCTTGTGGGTTTATTAGAGAAAACTAAAGATTCTTAGACTTGATTTAGTTTGCGATATATTACCCCAGCACCGAGAACAATACCGTATGCCACTATAAGGACTTTTATATCGTGTTATGATGCTCATCTCAGTTGCATAGTACAAAACGAATTATCCATTACTCCTTCTATTGCAGGATTACGGTATAAAACTGTGATGAAGAAGCTCCTTGTCAAAAAGTTGCCACAGCTCCTGTTTTGGTGGTTTCGGGCACACTAATTTCGAATGCAAGCAAAACTTTGGTGTAAATCTTCGAGAGGGTTTGAGAAAATAGCTATCATTCACCTTGCTTATCTATCAAATGAGGCATTACTGTAAAATGCAGGTCGTAGAGCTACTGGACTCAAATCTGTTCTAAAGTTTCGATATATTCGTGGGTTCACAATTCGGGTTCTTCTCAGCGGCCTTAAACTTTTAAGGTTTTTACCGCTATTCTACAAGTAAAAACAATAGCTGGACGATTTTCTCAATAATATAACTCTAAGTTGAAGTAGTATCTAAATAAAGACCTGCAAAAGCTGTTGGGGCAATTAAATTATTTATTTCATTTGTTTTTTATTCAATACGAACAAGGTGCGCCATATTTTGGACAAAGAAAATGAACATACTCAGAACCTGAAAAGTGATAAAAAACCAAAAGAAACACCCACCAACAGATCAGGTTCGGCTCCCGATGTGTTAAGAATAGAGAGGGTTAAGCTTGTAGGGACCATGTATGGTAGCAATTACTTGGGACCATGTTTGGACCAACTACTTGCAATCAAAAACCTTTCCATGTGGGTTTGAGGCAAACTACAACCGTAGCCTGCTCATTGGTCGCACTTGTACAGAATTAATGAGGAAATTACCCATAATTAATTGATGATATAATCCTTTGCAACCTCTTAAGAAAACGTCAAACATAACGAATCATAGTCCGCATCGACTCATGAAATAAGACGAAGCCATATATTCCCTGGAGAGTTTGCTGAGACCTTTGAGTTGCTGAATTCGCGGCTTTGGAACATTTGTTCTTACGCAGATTTCATCGTGCTTGAGCAACACATTTCTGTAAGTGTTCCCCCAATCTTAGCGAAATTTTTCTTTCGAAAAAGACTCAAATATGAATCTATTCTTTTTTTAGAGCTATTATAAGCTCTGCGAATGATTCTTGAGGTTCCTTCTATAAGAGTTGAATATAAAAATGTTTTTCGCATTTGATTTGCCTTCGACATGAAATTTTCATAGTAGTGTAAGTTTCAAGGAAGATAATAGCCTGTCACATTAGCTATCGAATGAATAATCAGGCAATATTGAATAGAATTTACTATATGGAGTTCAATCTTTTTTTTTCGATCAGGAAAAAGATATGTATAAGGTTAGGACACAAGTATGCAAAAGCTTTTGGAAAATCAGTAAAATCAGTTTGCTTAGATATATCCAAAAAGAAGAATCTACGTTTTCTTTGTATTAGTTGGAGAGAAAATTATTCTTAGCAATTTCGTTGCTTGAACAGCAAAATGCCAAGATGTGGGGTGTACCCACTCTTTCATTGTAAAATTTTCGCTGATCGGATTGTACAAAGAGTTACAAATTTGAATTTTGAATTTCATACAAATTAAAACCTTGGTATGAATATGAGTCACAATTTCATACAAATTGAAGCATTTTTAAAAAATTTCAGAGCCAATTTCCAAACTTTCTCAAACGGTTGTATTTTAGCTCTATATTCCAATGCAATTCAAAACAAAATAGTAATTGGATTGATTATAAAGACTATACTACTCAATAAAAAACAAAAAAAACATCAACTGTACTGCATGTTGCTATAGACGAGTTATCCACAGCCTGATATGTACTGCACAACACGCGCGGCATCCTACGACATGTATGTTTATGCTGTCAAATGTCTCAAATTTCTTATCTTCTTCTTTTTCTCAGCTTAAATAGGTTTAGACAGATTTATTGCTATTTTTTTTTATTAAACCCGCTGCTAAGACGTCTCTCACAGACTTTCCATCGATAAGACGTCGTGGGGCATCGCACGCTGTGTGCATTCTCACACATTATGTTACAAATGATTCCAATATAGTTTAGAATGAACATGCAAGGACTTTGCAACTAATCCCTTGTTGTGACCTGAAGCTGTTTGCTCTCTCACTTTCAGTGCACTTCATTGATCTTATTTTTCTTTGTGCACATCGCCCTACACGGAAAATTCGATGATTTCCATATGAGTCATAGAATTATTAGACACTTTCAAATGTCAACGTTCAGCAAACGATCGTTATTTTCGGCCCATAATAGGGCCATTCGTGTATCGCGAATTTCGCTATTATTTGATATTTTTTTCAACTTAAGAGAGATGTGGACGAGTTCGTTTGGCCAGCTCGAAATGAGAGGGAACGCTCTGTTTATTTATCGATGCCATCTCGCTATCTATTACTGTTCGGCGAGTTTTTGTATTTGCAATGTTTCCAAACTAACTAACCATGAATCACTTGTGTGTTTCTACAGCAAAGTATTTTCTCGCTAAGGTTAACAATTGCACTGCTGTACTGCTGTCACGTGATCTTACTTTTGCAGAATTTTATTGCTCAATTGTCTAATAGTTCGAGTCCAAATTCTAATGGTACATAGTCCAAACTTATATAATTACCTATCGACAATTTATTCCCAGTTACGGTACTGTAGAACACGTATAAAAACTTAAAAGCTAGTAAAGGAGCTTTTCACTAGCAAAAAACCTTTTTACGTAGACTGAGATATTTACCTTCCTTCTCAATTTTCAATATCTTATTTTTTCTAATTTTTTTCAAACAATCAACTCTTTGACGTCCGTACTCGCTTTCTTATAGTTTCCTTGTGCTGTTCTGCAACCAAAAATCTTCCCTAGAATTGATAACAACAAGCAAAAAAAGTCGCTGAAAAGCAGTCCTCACAAAGCAATGAGTGTCAGTCTGCTTATGCTGTCACCGTTTACAAATACATAAAGCCCTTCCAAACTCGAGAAAATGGGCTATTACTTTTTTTAAAGAAGTCGTTATTTAGATTCGATTGATTTGTTTGCTGCTTTTGAAATGAAAAAGAATTTGCTTCATAGACAAAAAGAAATAAGCCTTACCCTAAAAAAGCGAAACATTCCTCTGAAATCGTTCAAAAGACTTACTTCATTATTTGAAATATTTTTATAACCTATCATAATTATGTATTTAATCGTACATATCAGAGATTCTATTAAATCAAAAGCCAAATGCTGAATAAAAAATTGGAAAATCATAAGCATTCATAAAAGCCTCCAATTAACCAATATTTGAGTATTTCAATATTTCAGTTTCAATATTTAATATTTCGTAATTACATTTTATTTACCTTTCGCACTGTTTCTTATGTAGCAAAAGCAGGTTTATAAAGCCTAAACCAAACATAAACTAGCGTTCTTTAGTTATTAAAGCAATTTTGAAAACAAAATGCAATTACTTTTTTGAAGTTATCACCTTGTTTCCTTACCATATGAAAATGAAGAATTTTGATTAGAGCACTTCTGAAATCACGATATTCTTTTTTAATATGTGTCAAATCGAGTGAATTCAAGGTGGAGAACATCACGAAACAGAATTGTTAACGCTGCGATTATAAAACAAAAAATAAACAATATTAAAATATTGATTATATTATATTCAATTATAAAGGTGACAAAATTACGTTGATAAAACAAAATTAACGTTACAGAAATTTCTCTCTTGAAAGGAACGCGACAATCTTTTTTCTGATATTTGATCAGGTCCATGCAAGATCAGCAACTCACACCTGTAACAGGGTGTCGCATGGAACTCATCGATTCTTCCGCATATCTGCCTCGAACGAATCACTTTTGTCGTGTGTGTGTTTGACCGTCTAATAATTTATTCGAAAATTCTCTACTGTACGTGTTTAAGAATGTTCAATGGCTCGTGGAAAGACAGGAATCATCATCGAAAACGAGGCAAATCACATTTCTTCCACGTCTGGAAGCCGGTTAGTCGCCTCTCTTGCTCGCTCCTCTTCTGCACCTTGTTTTATTTTTTTTATTCTCGAATTACCATTGACTTTTGCTAGTCACATATGTCATTGTTTAACAGGATCACTTATGTTTTTTCAAATAAGTGCTCTCAATCTCCGCTACGTGTTCGGTTAAGCATTTGTCGTGTCTTGCACATCAGTACGTTCATTGGCAAACATACCGCCCCTCCTCTGAGGTCGTTTCCTCAGTTTTGCGCTTCGATTTCGCTGCCTTCGCATAGAATATTCTCGAAATTTTCCTTCCAAATTCAAAATCATTCTCCTCTTATAGTACTGATATCGCTAGATAACCATGAATTGACGCTGTTTTATTGCACTTTAGGGTTTCGTACGAGGAACCAGTCGCGAGTTTATCCGATTATAACCAGCGCATTATCGTTTTGCTCACGAATGCAGCGATTTCTAAAACAATTTATTAGTAATAATAAATACACCCATTAAACAGGGAATTAATGAAAAGTTTATAAAAAAATTTCACATTTAAAGGCTATACAATTTTTTTAGGAGCCAAACGAATCCGTACAAAACGGAAGCAATACAGTGAAAAAGGTTTGTCATGTTATTCTACTAACTTTCTTCACTTTTAGTTGATTCTGATAGCAGAAACTGTTAAAACTTCCTGCTTGTGATTATCGCATTTACAGCATAACCGTATTGAGCCGCTTTCTTTATTATTTTCACACAATTTTAAATTCTCTAAAAAAATGTCAATTTCAATTTTGAATGGGATATGCACGGGCTTTTTGTGGTATTCTATAAAAAACAACATTTTTTCAGATCTCGGCGGCATTTTTGAAAACACATAATCTTCTCATTTTCGATCATAAAAAGGCTAGGAATCCAATTTAAATTGATTTTAATTCTGACTGAGGTTTTGGCGGAACCTGTCTAACTAAGACAAATTCGTACTGAGTGGAAGTGTCTATATTGTGATTTTCGAGTTTTCAAAAGACTTTCTGATATTGTTAGTATGTTGGATTTTGGTGGTAAATATTATATATGTATCACAATTCCTATTTACGTGCTAGAAAGTTTAGATAATATATAATAAATCGGATCAATTCCTAGTAATTTTACGGTGTCGTGATTTTTGGTGCAACATGATTGGGACATCCGAAGATCAGGTTATTTCGTTAAACCAGATAGTCAATCCATCTCTGAACAAGAGTTTCCTGGAAAATCTACCTGCTCTTTCTTGATCTGATCGATCTTATTGTATTATTTGACCTGATTGAGCCAGCACATAAAGTCTCATAGGCGGAAAATGTGGAAATGCTTAATGGCACGAAAAAGTGGTGCCCATCAATTCTGACCTTATGTGTTTACTTTTGCCCGTCATGCCTCTAACTCTCGAAGAATGTCGAACAATAGAGGGTTCTACAGAGTATAAGCATATACTCAGCAGAGCAGACAAAGAATTCTGCACCTCTGTGCAGATTTCTTTGTCCGCACTAAGTTCAAATGTACTAATTTCAGTTACTAACTGCTTTATCTTGTTCTCGACTCAGCCAAATCGGCTATCCTATCTGCTTACGCTCAGACTATAATTTGCGACTGAATAACATCAAGGGCAGAATATGTCTATGAATTACATGTTTTTGTCAAAGCTTCAATATCTAAGCTTCCTTAAGAGGATGTCTAGAGCTAGTCTTTTACCCGTAGTTCACGAAAATCGTGTAAAACCAAGTAGTTTTCAAATAATTTTTGGCAAAAATTATGCTTACGCAAAGTTCAGTCGGTAACACGTTTGAATTAACTTCGTGTAATTTAACATTTGAAAACGGAAATTTTCGAAAATTTCGAAATATGCAATATTCCCTAATCTCAACGATTTCGATTGTTATTTTATTCGAGAGGAGATGGTGCTCAGGGAAGAAATATTGTTATTATACTATATGACTAAAACTGATAGAGAAAAACACTTAGATATAAGAAACTGGTAAAAAAACACAAAGTACTGTATCCAGTTTAATTTGTTTCTAGTATCGATCCCGATTTTACCTACTATTCCAAAATTTTTATCACTGTTGGAATTTTTCTTTCAAGTTCAGATCTCACTTTGGCTGAATTTTATTTCGTATCAAACGTTTTTACAATTTTCCTTAGTGGGAGTTCAGCTGTTTTATGACCCTTACGCCATAAAATCTCAAAGTTGATGGTATTGCTCAGTTCAGTTTGGGGTCAAAATTCAAAAGGAGCAATTTTATGATGGAAATGTTAGGAGTCACGTCTGAGTTAAGAAAAGAAAAATTTACAGGCCGAGATTCTGCATTTTTCGTGATGCCTTTCCAGCATATTGGTACTCTTGTTTTCAAACTCTGTACAATTCCTTTGAATAATAGTTTTGATTACGCCTTCCAACGAATCTGAGAAGGATATCTGTTCTATTGTTGAATTATCTGCTCTTTCCCCGTTTTTCTCATCAAATACGATTTTATGAATACGTTTTCGCCAGATTTTATTCTCACATTGTCAAACACAGTTGAAACTTGCTTTCGTTTACCATACCCTTCTTTCGAAATTCTATTCTTCCAAACTAACACTCCATTCTTTTGGCACACAAGTTTCAAAGGGCACGCCGCTCGTCTTGACATATGCGAATGCATTCCTCAACTTTTTCTTTCTTTTCTTTATACCAGAAAACAATAATGTATGCTGTCCGAGTATAAAACTAACAAAACTGTTCACATCGATCTGTAAGGGAGTATACAGAATAGAAATCATATACTGCTGTGGCTATATACGAGCCTACCTTCCTTTTTTTTCAAATCAATTTCAAAATTACCAAAATAATCATGACAAATTATAGCTTACTGAATTTCAAAATCATATAATGTACAAAATGACTTCTCAATAATCATTTTACGCAAAAAAAAACTAACCTTTTGTTCAACTCTTGTCAAGAAGGCGGGGCTTTGTGATCTAATCAAGACCGCTCGCGCCCGCAACGCACCTGCGTCTCTCTCGCGAGTGCTCTCTGATCATTACCTAGCCTTAATTAGGTCACGAAGCCCCGCCTTCCCGAAGCCAAGCCATTTGAATCAAATGGTACATAATTTTGCAATAATCTTTCGCATAAGATCGCCTCTTTTCTCTTATGATATTTTCTCATACGTTCTATTATCACAGTATATAAAATATGAAATTTTTTTTTCAAACTGCCTATCTAGCCGTTTCCGTACTAGATATTGTCTTCTAGAAATCCATTTTCCTGCTGTCTCTTCTGAAACGTAATTATGCCTCTAGTGTGTGCTCTTGTCTCCATTCCTGCTTCAAACAATTCTTACTTGGATACCTAGGGCGCTTCATAATTGTGTATTTTCTTCAAAATTACGTATTCTCTGGTTATACAGTGCCAAGGGTCATTCACTGCTTCTGGCACTTTCATTGTTCCTTTGTCTATTTTTCTGGCAGTACATGTTTGCTACATGTAAAGTAGAAGCAAAAGCCACTGCAGCGCAAAATAGAAGTGTAAAAAAAAGAGAAGGTGAGGAGAAGGAGAAAAGCATCAGAAAAGCTCAGTAAGAGAGAACAGAGTTTAGAAACAGCCTCAGCTTATTCCTTGATTTTTCATGTCAGTTACACTGCTGTCGGCGCATCTTCTGATACATGGGGTGCCTGTCTGTTTATGGTAGGTATACGGTAGATAGCCAATTTTCTGTCAATCCTCAATTCATAAGTGCTCTGATTGAACTCGCTAATAAGAACAAATCAACACCAAAAGACAAGCCTTCTTCCAAATTTTCAAAATTCCAATTTAATTCACTTACTATCAAAATTAGGATTTAACCCCTGAATAATTCATAACTTTTACAAGTGGAAGATAAAGAAGGTTTGATTTTCCTGCATCATTTTTCTCCGAAAAATTTCGTTCTTCAAAATTGATTTTCAACAATTGATTTAAGTTGACGTATATCATTGTCCAAACCCTAGAAAATTTTGTAAATTTCTCTCACGAGAAACTTTCCTGTGCTGATAACAAACACCTACACACAGTAGCTGCTGCTGAAAACAAACTACTTACCGTATAGCTACCGTACCCAGACAGACAAGCTGTCACTAGTAGATGTGCAGCGAGATGAGTTGACCAGTAACCGTGGATTCAGTTCGTATATTCTAAACCAAATAGCGATGCGTCGGCGAATTCCGACGGAGTTTGCGGATGTGGCCATGTTTGGCATCGTTCCAACTTTGTGTCCGCTCAAATATATTACCCGATACGGTAAGCTGCCTATGTGAGCAGCACGTATTCGTACAGGGAGACGCTCCACCATCATCGCTGCGCCTACAAATTAGATGTGATTGAGGCGTTGTTGACTCAAGACGAGCCGTCGGGCCGCCACCGCCACATATCTACAAATCGATCTGTATGTGTCGCTGACACCGTGTACTATCCGTTCGGATCACATTTTTCAGATATTTTGCAGATGTTCCAGAATCAACCCCCCCCCCCCCCTACTCCAGGTATGAAATTCAGCATCATAGCAGAAACCCTGCGCGTTAAACCCGATCCCCCTACTTCATGTACCTCCGTCGCGGCGGCACCATCAGTGCCCGATCTGTTACGGTCATGGATCTGTTGCTTGTACCAGGTGACATGTGTCGCTGTGTGGGTTCGCAATGAAGTTTTTGCGAATGATCGAGATAAGGAGCACCGATTCGCCTCCGCAGCGATTTTATTTGTTCCAAAATCTCTCTATTACTCATCATACATTTTTCGGCCACCTATGACTGAGCATCGGTTTTCTGGAAGAAAAATTAGACTTGAATGACATTATTAGTACTTATAAAGTGGATGTGATCTCTAAGATGTATAGAAAAACGATATATCATCAAAAATGTATTCTACTTGAATTAAATCATGAAAGCACTTGCATCATTTTACTTCCAAACGGAGTTGAACAGTTTTGAAACGAAATTTCTATAATTTTTGGCTCACTCATGAACAACAGTGAGTTCTAAGATGTTCCCTAATCTCAGGCTCACCAGCCGCACAGTAAAATTTTTTTATCGTTTATAACAAGTCAAAGGATTCTGCGTGGGACTCTTACACTAGTTGTTATGCAAAAATTATGTATCTATGACACCTCGTTGACTTTATTTCCAAACTTTACCCTCGCCTTCCACCTATTTATCATATCAACCTAGCCTCGGTAAAATTTAGCAATTCTCACTGCCAGACACTTTTCTTCACGTTCTTGTAGCCTTATCTTTTGCACTTTTGTAAGCGAATGCCGTACCTTTTGAAAGCTATACCCTCCTGACTTTTCCGACATCACATTCCACGACAGATTTTGCAAAGAGTGGGAGTAGAGTTTTTATTCAACATGACTCTTCAAGCAGAAGTGTTTTTATTATCACAGATTAAAAAATCGAGAGCTCTCGCAGCTCTTATCAATCGCCTACACAAATCTGTCGCTTCAGCTGGAGGTAAAAATTTCGGTTTTGTGGATTTTTTTTTACACTTGCTATTTTGGCAGCGTATAGTGTTGCTTTTTGGCTAAATCATAGCGGTATAATTTATATCTGAAAACGCATCTAATTTAAAG